ACCCTTTGAATAATCATGTGGATGCTCTAGCCAAAGCCGCTCACACTGATTCATATCTTTCTTCTCGTCCATTGTCAGAATTATTGGCTCCTTGCATTTTACAATTTAATTCTTTACCTGTAGATATGAATATCCGGAAATTTGTTAGAGATATCTTTGACGCTAAAAGTCTTTTAACTCTTGCTGCATTACCAAGATTTAATTCCTGTTCCCCAACTTCAGATATCGATTGGGCTTGCACCAAATTTTGTCTTAACAACAATAAGCAATTTGTCTCTCATCGGAATGGCCGTTCCGATTTTTGTAGCTTCCGTATCAAATTATTATTAGATATGCTTCTAACGCTTACAACTCTCCAGAGACAAAAACCTCATCTTTATAATCCGAGTTGGCTTTGTCCTCAATGTAACTCTTCTCCTGAAACCTTAGACCACTTGTGGACTTGTCCTTATATCTTACCAGAATTTAGCCCTTTAACAACTTTTAAAGCACTATTACTGGATCTTCGGACTACTTATCCTGTCTCTTATACACATCTAGATGTGTATAAGAGACAGATTCTACTTTGATTGCTTCATCTAAACGAGGAATTGAAGATCGCCTTTCCATTACTGCTGAATTCTATACTTTAAATAATACTCAAGCGAATTCTGCAAAATATATCCTTCTTTCTTCTGAACAATTTTCTCAAACTATAGTGTTTGATCTTTTTCCATCCCCCTTAATCCCTATTTGTTCCCTTACATTGAAGGCGTTAGCTTTATCTAAATCTTTCCATTTTTTAGGTGTCTGGTTTTGTCTTTCAGCTTCCTCTCATTTTGTTCATGATCAATGTACTTCCATGGTCAAAGACATGGCTGCTCTACTCAGTCCTAAAAAGCTTTTGGCACAACATGTGGCCTATCTTTATAACATTGTCTTACTTCCAAGGCTAGAATTTCGCCTTCAAACCACATTATTTGCTGAATCTACCATTAATCGCATGGTTTCTCCAATGCTCTCTCTTATTCGACAGAAGGCTGGTTTGGCCTCAGTCACTCCTCTTTCCGCGCTTTTCACACTGTTGCCGTTCTCTATCCAACAAGCGTTTGGTCGATTCCTATCATCTCATGTGGCTTCATGGCAAAGAATTTTTTCTCACCCTTCATACAAGCTTTTTGCCAACTGTATGATTACTTATCTTCAAGGATTTTTGGATTGTGATGCCTGTCCTTCTACTATTGATTTAGAACCATAGTCCCATACATTTTCCTTGCGAACACATTCTTTGTTCAATTCTTTATTATTCTCTTCTCGATTAAATATCACGTGGTCTTTATTGTTCTGACCTCCGAGAAAGGATCTATGTCCGGCGATTCCACTCCGTTCTATTTTACCGAAAGATTTATTTATTTCCATGAATAATATTCGAAAAAATTTCTGCACTCGTTTTCTTGCTCAATTGATTACACCGTGTGGCTCTCGACTCCTCTCGTGGAAAGATTTATGCTTTCTTAAACGAGTATCAAACAAAGGATCTGTGCCTGCTTGGTTTAATTATTTATTTAATCTTATTGTTATTCCTAATTCTCCTTCTTTGTTTGTTTTACCACAATTTAGAATTCCTATTTCTCATACTGTAGCTTTTATTTCTTTTATAGATATTAGTCGAAATTATTGGTTTAACCCCAATGGGCTATTTCTTTTAATCGTAATACTAACTCTTTTCTTGTTGGCCGTGTGATTACTACCTATCCTGCTCCGCGTAATGAAGCTCTTATTTCACATTGGATTGCGTCATCTGTTGATGATTTGCTTTCTGAATTTACTGCATGCCAAGGTTATGCCTCTGCTATTCCGCGATCCTCTACCTCTAAGACTTTACTTAAACGATGTCCCTCTGAAGGATGCTTTTCTTATGTTCCGTTATCAAGTTTGATCCATTATCCTACGAAACTTCGTACTTACATACATGCGGACACTCGCTCGGTTTCACTTTCTGCCTCGTTAGGTTATGCCAAATCTCTTTTATTATTCCATCTTTTAGTTCGATTACCTTCTATGAATAACCAAGTGCCTAGGATTTCTGATATCCAACTTCCTTCTTCGGTGTCTACACTTTATATGGATGGTTCTTTCCTCCCTCCTTCTAGTCATCTGATATCCTCGATGGCTTATGCATGGACTGCTATAGATCCTGACGGATTTATTTTGGAATCTCACTATAATATTATTTCTTTTATTTTTCCTTCTGCTTTACGTTCAGAAATTTGTGCTTTAATGCATGGATTGGACTCCCTCCCTCGGAATTCAAAGATTACTGTCGCCACTGATTGTGCTCAATTACTTTCTTTATGGTCTTCGTATGTGAATGCTCCTTTTATTCCTAAATTACTTAAAGAACCCAACCACCTTTTGTGGTCTTCAATACGAGCTATCAAGTCAATAAAAAATCTGGATGTTACCTTAATCAAGGTTCCTGCTAACGCTGACAACCCTTTGAATAATCATGTGGATGCTCTAGCCAAAGCCGCTCACACTGATTCATATCTTTCTTCTCGTCCATTGTCAGAATTATTGGCTCCTTGCATTTTACAATTTAATTCTTTACCTGTAGATATGAATATCCGGAAATTTGTTAGAGATATCTTTGACGCTAAAAGTCTTTTAACTCTTGCTGCATTACCAAGATTTAATTCCTGTTCCCCAACTTCAGATATCGATTGGGCTTGCACCAAATTTTGTCTTAACAACAATAAGCAATTTGTCTCTCATCGGAATGGCCGTTCCGATTTTTGTAGCTTCCGTATCAAATTATTATTAGATATGCTTCTAACGCTTACAACTCTCCAGAGACAAAAACCTCATCTTTATAATCCGAGTTGGCTTTGTCCTCAATGTAACTCTTCTCCTGAAACCTTAGACCACTTGTGGACTTGTCCTTATATCTTACCAGAATTTAGCCCTTTAACAACTTTTAAAGCACTATTACTGGATCTTCGGACTACTTATCTTGATAAATTTCTTTCTGAGTCATCTTTACTACCTTTATCGGATTCCTTCGCTGCTGATTTTAAATCTATTGATTGCTGGGATTGTGACCCTCCTTCAATTTCCTGTCTGAAGCTTGCACGTGGACTTATACCGATATCTCTTACAGAATTTCTTGGAAATTATTTTTCATCATTTACCATTTGGTCTATCTTAGATACACCTTTATACGACTTTCATTTTGACCTTTATGTACAAATCTGGTTGTGCCGTTCCATTTTCTTTCATCATTGGAAATCAGCTCAAGGCATTACAAAAAAAATGAAATTGTCAGCTCTTGGGCCTTCTTCTATTTTTCAACTTTCTTCTTACATTCCTCCTGATTCTTTGACACCTTCCTTGGCAACAGTTTCCTCGGATTCCTGGGTTTCTTGGGTTTCCTCTTCTATAATCCGTGGTGGATCTTAGATCTCGCACTTGGATTTTTGGCGCCGCTTAACAGTTCAGCCTCTACTTAGGATTTCTTTTTGATAACGGATCAGATCTTAGGGCATGCTGGATAGTTGACTCACACTGGCCTTCGGGTAAAGTTGGGGTATGCGATTCTGTAATAGTTCAGTTTTTCTTTGCTTTAATTTTATTTTAGTTTAGATTTCTTTACTTGTATAAGTCGTGAAGCTAGTTCTTTTTATTTTTTATGTTTATTTTTCTATATTTCATTTGTAATATTGTTCGATTTGATTATTGTACTCTTCGTTTGAAAATTATAATAAAAGATAAAGTCATAAGACTGTTTGCTCATAATCACCAAATATGGACTGTCCCAAATGTGTGACTATAAAGAGAGTTGACTGTAGTTTGCATTTTGAACTTGATAGTAGAAAAAGTTTTTATTTTTCCAATATCTTTAATAAATAAATAATTTTAAATATATTTTATATTATAAAATATTTTTGCAAATATTTTACATATATAATCATATTTATTTGTATACAGGAGTACTGGATTAATATCTTTACCAATAGGCATATCTCATTATAATTACACTATTGGGTAGTTCTAAGAGGACCCCGCCTATTACTAAGATATGTTACCAGTAGAAATTTCACTTTCATATGAAACCTTACCTTAGGATTTGCTTAAATTCTATTGGTTAATTAACTAAAAAGGAAAAAAATCATAACAATATAACATAAAATTTCCTTTTATAGTAGGATCTTTAAAGAGTTTTATATGTAAACCTTACCTTATGCTACAGGGTGACTTATCTTAATAGTAGGCGGGGTCCTATTCCAAGAGGTATGATTATATATAAAGGAGTTGATTGTAGATGTAATAGAGTAACTATAGATAGATTAGAATAAATTTTAATAACAAAGTACTTTAAATATTTAACTAGTATAACTATATAGTAAAATGTAATTATAATGAAAATAATTATAAAGGAAGTTTATTATATTAAATATATTTAGAAAAAATCTAAATACTATATTTGCCCGAAAATAAGCAACAAGTTTTTGCACATAATGCCATCCAAGTTTTGATAATATGGGCCAAAATTTGTTATAATGTGGGCCATGTTGCTTATTTTAGGTAATTGTTTGTTTTTGGGCAAATACGGTATCCAATAAATCATGGAATTAGAGGAGATGATTTTCTGCAATGATTAGAATGAATTCTATCTGAAATAAAAGTTAATTCTGTAAAATTCTGTGATTAATCAGAATTATATAATGTTAGCCAACATTATAATTTGCAAACTCTGGCTAAATTAATGATTGCAAATATGACAATCCTAACACATCCTCCCTACACAGAAATTTTTTTTGATACAACTGACTTAGAATCCCAATTTATAAAGTATTATGATTATACTAATAAAATCCAGTATTCCAGTTATATTAATTTTAGATTTGGTTCTAAAAGAAAAATCCTAAATAACACCAAATCCGGTTTGTCAAAGGTCCAGTTAATCAAAATTGCTTATATTAGGATACCTTGATCTTTGACAATTAATACTGTTAATATTTATGTATTTAATTCAATAAAAATTTAACTTTATTTATAAATATATTATACAAAAAAAAAAATGTTATTGTATCGCTCTACTATGTATAAATAAGATAAATTTAATTTTAGTGATGGTGGTGTTCATCATTATGGAAATGAGTGGATTCAAAAGCTTGATGAAATGTTCCTATAAAAATAATAATAATTAGTAATAATAATAATTAGTAAACTATTTAATTTGATTTAATATGTATTTGAAAATATATACCATTATCACTGTTAAGTAGGAAAAAAGAAAGATTTGTTAATAAGTTAAGCTTATAAATATACCAATAAATAACATTATTAGATACTTAATACATGCCTATTTAATTTATATGTGATAAAATCAAGGTCCAAATTAAGATATTTGACAATAAAATCTCCAATATCAGTATTTTCATGATTTCCGCGTAAAGCATCACTACCTTGTCCGTATGCATAAAGATTAACATCAACAGAAGAATGTCCATGTGTCGCCCACTAATAGAGAGATTTGTTTAAGAAAATTTTAGTCATACTGTGTATTCAAATAACTCTAGTAAAAAAAATTGACTAAGGCACTTGCCCCAAGTTGAGCCCTAAAGTTTGTAATATTAGCCAAAAAGTATTCATAATCTAATTGAGTACGATTTTGATTTAACCAATTAACATCATAATCATCAATATCTCCGATTCCTAATCCGCTACGAATTATATTTTTAATATAAGCTTCACGATCGTTTTCCCAATAATTCAATAGCTCCTGTGAAAGAATAAATGATGAATTCTTTACACGCGAGACAGGTTCAGGATACCTATCAAAATAATTTTAAATTTAAGTATGAATTTTAATTTTAAATTTAGCATTAAAATTTCATGAACGAAAATAATAAATATACCATAGATATTGTGGTAGATCGGAAACTTGACGAGCGAGTGACAATCCACCAGTTTCGTGATCACTGACTGAAATCATAACTGTACCAGGATGTTTATCGACATATTTCTTGACTAGATCAATCGTTTCATGATAAGCCATAATATCATGAGCATGTGTGGCGGCATCATTTCTACAAGTAATTTAAGTAATTTTAAACAAATCTTTAATATTTTCATGATTTTTGCAATATGTTACTAAAAAAGAAAAATTGTTGAGTCAGCAAATAATGAAAAAAAAAATCCATACGAATGAGCAGCCATATCTTTGAAATGAATTCATAAAAAAAAATTAGACAAAATGTTTGATGTAAATTTCATTAGAATCAAAAATTTTTTTTTTCATTTTAATAATTACCAATCCTACTGCCTTCAATCATAAGGAAAAAGCCTTTATCACTATCAGCAGTTGCAGATTCGAGGAATTTAAGAGCTTTTTCTGACATTTCTTTCAAAGATGGCTCTTTAGTAGGATCACGATCAATTTCATATGACATATGCTATTAAATCATGTACGTTAATTTTAACATCATCATTATCGATAACATATGAAGAGAGAACTTACATCGAGTGTAAAGAGTCCTAAAAGGGGAAACCTTCAATATATATATATACATGTAAATTAAATGAGTTACATAATAAAATCTTAGTAAAACAAATAAGGCAAGGAAGATCATACTTGTCTTTTCTTGGTTCAAGATCATCAAACTCTTTCCTTGTAGAAAAATATTTAAACCCTCTTTCTTTTGACTCTTTAACCAAGTCACGTTCATCAATTCTACAACTTCCTTCTGTACTATTTGGCAAGAAAAAGCATCGACCTCCACCAAACATTAAATCAACTTGTCTTCCAAGAGGATAATCGCCAATTTGTTGTGCAGCAATATCAGCTTCCATATCCCTATCAACTACATGAGCCGAGAACGTGGCTGGTGTAGCATGAGTGATACGGCTCGTGACAACTAAGCCAGTCGCTAAACCTAAGTGTTTGGCAGATTCCAACACGGTACCACAAGGAACTTTCTCCGGATTAACTATTCGTTACATACACACACAAATTTAGTTAAGTATAAATATTTAAAACAAAAAAATAATCATAAATGACAAAAATTAACCTCCTATAGCGCGATTATAAGTTTTAATAGTACATGCAAAAGCTGTAGCTCCAGCAGCGGAATCAGTGACAAGGCTATCTGATGATCTAGTTCGAGAAGATCCAACAAGAATTTTATCTAATGGAGTGAGATAATTATAGTTCAATTTTTTTACATATTGTACGTAATCGCGAGCGAATGTTTCCGATGCAGGACCAAATCCATCAGAGATCATAAGGATGACATTTCTTTTCTCATAAGAATCATCTAATAATAAATGTTGATTAAAGAAATATTTTTGATATGATACAAATTTTTGATCTCTCGCTTCTTACCATAAGATAATGATGTCCATAATGAAACTATTACTATTACTGCGGCTACGATTATCACCGCAGCGAAAATTACAGTACACACTTCTTTACGCGTCTTCAGATGATTGAATTAAAAATTAATCGATAGAAAAAAAAAAATGATTTGACATTTCATTTAATCGATTAATTCACAGGTAATTTTTAATAAGCTTAGAAAATTTTTTCTTGTTATTACTATGAATAAGTTATTCCGACCTTTCTTCGTTCTTGGCCAAGACCAAGTAAACGTTCCGTTTCTGCTGGATCTCCGTGAGTGCTCATGATTCCTGTAATAAAAGTTGGAACTTATTCAACAAATGAATCAATAAAAGAAGCAAAACTTCTAAAAATTTTAAAAAGGAATGTAAGTATTTATGAGTGGTTTAAATATAAAAATTTATTTGGTATCATTAACCAGCATCCCTACAAAAGGCTGAAAATCAAAATACATGAATGTTTTTTATTTAATCGAATCATTTTACACACGTGGAAATCATGTTCATACTTCATAGGCAATTATAATTTTTTAAAAAAAAATAAAAAAAGAAAAGAAAAATCCGTAATTTCGTAATTTTGTAGTGTCACAGATTTAAGGTTTCAGCCGATTTCTAAAATAAACATCTTTTTAAATTCCCTCCTATCTCATTTACTTTAAAGGAAATAATTAATTCAGCTGAATCAGGGATTAAGGAACCAATAAATTATGGCACGTGTGACTAACGTTGTTATGACTTGTTTATTTGTTTTTTTTAGGATCTTTCGTGTTACTTTAACAAAATTAGCCTCATGACACTCCTCATGACGATAGGTTGAGAACTATACTAAAAAAAAATAGTTAAAAAGAAGTCTTTCTGTATATAAGTCAGAATGATCTTTTATTTAATTATTGCATTCTACTCGGAAAAATGTTGCAATATTACATAATACCTGATTCTTGTTTCAAGTTTCACAGAATAGTTACATTCCTCAATCCAATGAATGGCGAAAAATTAAATTTTAATTCGTTAAAACAGATATGTACACAGTGATGATGTACTGGAAGTTGGAAGCTTCCAATAATTCTTCCGATTCCAATAATATTTCCAATTCCAATAAAAGTCATTGAAAGCTTCCAACATCATTGAGGTACCCTATTTCCGTGTTTATAGGACATAGAGCCTTCTTCGACAGTAGATATCATATGGTCCTTTGTTCATTAACTTGGTGCTAGATTCTCTTATGTTTGTTCATGGACTTATTCTAAGAATCTGTGGCAAGTTATTTAAAGAAAATCGATCCCGATTTGGCAGTAGCATAAGGAAAGGATTTCAACACTAAATTTTTAAATGAAGAAATTAATGAATGGTTCTTTACTTACTTCTAGTAGTATATAATATTTTCTTTATAAGATAGCTTGTAATACTTTTCGGTTTACTATTTTTTTTTTTTTTGAGTCAATGCAACGTGACAGCTTATCATTTTTGCATTTGCAAATTATAAGTGACTATAAGAGTAAAAACATCCTTGTTTAAAGAAGTTAAAAGAAATTATCTTTTTCTCTATAAATGTAACTTTTAAATGCGACAGTGACTAGTGATCTGCAAAGTGATTCCGCCCACCTTTTTAATTTCGTGTCACGTCACAATAATGAATATTGAACAATTGTACCCCACATTCTTTAATCGTAGTAGAAAAAAGCATAAAATATTGTCTAACACTCATTACCTTTTTTTGAAAAACAAAGTTATTTAAAATAAAAAATTTGAAATACATTTTAGTGTCTATAGTTATTCTTGCATTAGCATCTTTGAAACAGAGAAAGGTTTTTTTCATCAAGATATGCATATATACAATCCGCTTTATACTTAGAGTGCATACATTGACGCGCATACATACTAAATATTATCTTCCTGTTCATTACCTGCAGGTTCCTACTATGTTTATTTCCTTTTACAACAAACAAAATTAATATTAAAAAATTACTATAGCAACAAATTTGTTGAAAAAATCAAGAAAAAATCAAGAAAAATTTATATAAATAATTGAATTTTTTTTAAAAAAAATTTTCTCTAGTGAATATTTTCTTGATTCAAAGGTCTTTTGTTTCATTTTGACGGTTTGATATCGTCTATATTAAAAAAGGTGAGAATCTAACTTGAATTAGTTAATACTCCAATGATTTTCCCGCCTTTAAATTACGAATTATGACGACGATTCAATTTATCTTACACTAGTTTTGTTTTTTTTTCTTTATTAGGAATCCTCTTTATTTTTTTTAAAAAAAAATTCTGAAAAAAAATTTTGAAATAAAAAGTTGAATTGATTTCAATTTTTTTTTCAGAATTTTTTTTTTATTCCTGACTAACTTTTTTTTTAATATCAAAAAAGATATTCACTCAAAAAATTTTTACAAAAAAGTTATTTGCAGGTTCAAAAAGTTAATGAAAAATAAATTCCTAAAAATCTAAAAAAAATGGTATCCAATAAAGAAAAAACGCTTCCATCACTTCCATTTTTCAATAAACCCTCAAATGAATCCAATTCTGATTCAAAATTTATGACTCGGTTTTCGGAAAAATTTCCAAAAACAGCTGAATTTTTTAAGAAAAATAAAAAACCAATTATAGTATCATTAATAATATTTTTTATTATAATATTGGTTATAATCATTGTTGCTGCCGTTGGTGGATTTTCAAACGGTGATTCACAAGATACTGGTAAACCTGGTATTAATATGAGTGGTAAAGGAGATGGAACTTTTTATAGTAAGTCAATTATACTGTATAATTTCAATAATATTAGTTTTATACTAATTCATTCCATATTAGATCCTAGTGTAGGTACTGGATCATGTGGCTGGCAAAATGATGATAGCGAATTTGTTGCAGCCCTGGTGAGTTATAATATATGGATTTAAATTTTTTAATTTGGAGATTAGCAAATAATAAATCTTTTCTTAAATTCTTTATTATAGAATGCTCCCCAATATGGAAAATTTAGTGATCCGGCAGATTCACCGATATGCGGCAAATGTATAAAAATTACCGGACCAAAGGGTTCCGTTAAAGTAAAGTTGGTCGATAAGGTAAATAATTTATTCAAAATTATTATTATTTAAAAGTTTTAATAAATTTAATATATTTTTTTCCGTTAGTGCCCGGTATGTAAACGTGGAGACATTGATATGTCACCAGCGGCATTTAAGGTAATTAGTATATATATATATGCTCAATCGTTATGTACAATACATAATATACAGTAAACTAATTAAAAATTTAAAAATTTTTTAAACAGAAAATTGCTGAATTAGATGAGGGTAGAGTTCCAATTACTTGGGAAGGCTGCTAATAATATTACATAATAGACCATTAATTATTATTCATGTAATATATCAATTGTATTTTTAGTTATTTAAAATTCAATTTGCATAACAAGATTAAAAATTTTTCAAACTTACTCGACATGTGAAAACTTCATAAATCTTGGATTTTTTTATTTGCAAGCTACCTCTAAATCGTTAATTAATTTATCCAATTTACTTTTATGTAATAAAAATATTTTCATTGCGGGTGCAATGCCAAAATCCGAAAAGGCTCTTTTTGAATCGGATGATAAATGTTGTTTTGTTAATTTAAAATTACATTGATAATCCGCGATCTATCAAACATTCCGAAAAAAGAATACATTTAAATTAAGAACGTGAATTATGAAATGACATGAATTTAAAATCATTTAATTACCTGTTCAATGATTTCATCTTCGGGATGAAAATAAAAGATAGTCGGTTCAGACTAATAAGAAGAAAATTTTTAATAATACGCATGCGTAATAAATTTAAATTGTAAAATTTAATACGTACAACTTTGGCTTTTTTCTTTTTTTGTTTTGGGATCTCACTTTCTTCGTCCAAAGTAGAGGCAATTTCTCTGTATGTTTTGGTTATAATAAGATACCATTCAAATTCATATGGCTCATTCTGATACAAAGAAAAAGAATAGACTTTTAGCCTCTTAAATTTTTCATAAGTTAATAAATAATAAATACATATTTACATCCTCGATAGCCCATTGAATTTCTTCTTGTAACATTTTATACATTGGAGGAACAATCTGTACCGGCATATTTATTAATCTTTCGCTTAATATTAGTCCAATATTATTTTTTGAGGTATCTTTTAATAATTCAACTAACTTTTCATTCAAATTTGTAAGTTTCTTTGTCTTTTCTATTAAATAATTCTTTATTTGTTTTATACACTCTTTATTCTAAAATTTTTAAAAATTATTATGTATTAATTAACTCGATATAAATAATAAAAAAACTCGAACAAATACTACCTTATGTTCATTCATATTTAATACTGTGAGTAAAGCATAAGGATCGGAATCAGTACCATCAACTTTAACAGTTGTACCTAATAATGGTTGGTTTATAATTAATTCTGATAGTTCACTTAAATTAAATAATTCTGCATCTGACGAAAATAATTGTATCATTAATTGTTTTATCGTATGAAAATCTATCTCTTTTGGATCAAAAAAGTCAAAATCTACATCAACTAATTCTTCCTACAATAAATAATGTTTGAGAGAAAAGGAGTCATAAACAACTGGTTGGCGATTTATACGAAGTAATTAATTAAAGTTACCTCTGAATGCCCATTTTCTTCGTCAGATACTCTTTCCTCATTCACTTCCCCTTCTGAAACATCCATAGGATCATCTTTATCAACATTTTTACTATTTGCTTTTCTTTTTCCCATCTTAGCTTGATTGAGTAAATAATAAACCGTGAAAAAAAAAAATTTTTTTATCGGGATCAGGTGTAACAATATATGATCTTAAATCAGCATTTTAACAAGTTTGATGATCGTTGATGTAGGCAGAAATTACATAATTTTCTACCCCTAAGTTCCTACAAAATTATGTAATTTTTGCTCAACTATCTCTTGCCCCTATGCTTTTTCATTGATTATCATGATATCATGTGATTATAATATTACGAATCAGTTAAACTACCCCAAGAGTACAAAAAATTTTCAAAAACACAGTATGCACATTGTAAAAAGAAATTTCACTCTGTACAAATAGTACGATGGTATAAGTTGTATTATTAAAAAACAAATATTAATGTACTAATTTTTTACTAATCCAATTAAAGGTATTAAATTATAGGTAAAACCTCTAGATTTAGCAAACTGTTGACAAAATTTTATTTAAATCTTAATAAATTTCTTAAAACTATTAAAAAGTCAAAATATATTAAATTTATTAATAAATTTCTGGAAAAGGCAAATCTACACTACCCTTCCAAAAGTATCCAGCCAAGCTCTATTTGATTTTCTCTAGATCAATTATATTAAATATCATTTTTTTTTAAAAAAAAAAATAATTTCTCTGGTTCTGACGATTAAAATGGATGTGTTTTTATTGTTTATTATTATAATGCATGTATCAGATTTGGCAATTAAAATCATTCAATTAAAACATCATAAGCAATATTATGAATAATACTTTGAGTTATATCACAAGAGAAATTAAAAATTGGATTGTACAGAAAATGATTAAAGTTCTTCCAAATTGGTCTTCCCAATTCCTGGACCTTAATCCTAAGGTTGCTTGTCTAAACCTCTTCAAAATCCTACGATTAGTTTCGTCAAAATTTTACTATAGATTTATTATAGTTTCGGCAGAGTTTAGGCAGTTTAGGCATTTATAATAAGTTTAAGCAGTTTCGCCATTCTCCAAAGTTTCGCCAGTTTTTTAATATAACTTTAATATAGTTTCGGCAGAATTTCGCTTTTCGGCGAAACGCCATCTTGCCTAAACCTCTAGGTTTCGGCAAGCAACCTTACTTAATCCTATTGAATATTTGTTGCATAAACTTGAATGGAGACTTTAAAAACTATCTGCACATCCAAAGAATTTTTATAAAACTTAAAAAAGCATTGCAAAAAAGTGAAAAGTATTTCCAAATTTACATTAATTTAATTAAGAACATGCCATGCCAAATTGAAGCATGCATTAAAAATAATATATGACCAACTAAATACTAATTATTATTAATAAAATATAATATTTATTAGTTAACTGAATACTTTTGGAAAAGAAATATATATTAAAATTTTAATATTATATTTATTAAAACTTAAAAGTTTAGATTTTGCCAAATTTCAAATAAATTTAATTTGCAACTTTAATATATCTGAAAATGCAATTATAGGTATAAAGTATAAACCACTTTATTAAAAAAATAATAATTCTATTAAACCTTTAAAATAAAATTGATAAAATTGATATAATGCTGGAAGTCTATACTCAATAATACAGTGAATTCTGAATATAACGAATCTGTAATCTGTATATACTTAAATTTTAATATACTGAACCAAATATCACAAACCTGAATTTTTTACAATTAATTATGCTGAATATAACGAAACTATATAATAAAATGCTATATACTGCATCCGAATGTATTTTAACTGAATGGTTATATTAACCTATATATTTGATATATTGAAATATTATATGATAAAAATTAAACACAGATAATCTATTTTACCAAAATGTGAACAATCTTTTCTTATCAGAAACAGAAAAATTTGTTTTAAAAATTCTGATATGTCAAGAAAGAAAGTTATCCTTTTTGCTACATAAAAACATGAACTTTGTAAAATAAAAAAAAATTCTAACCTTTTTAACGTTAGTTTTGCACAATAATATCATATTAGAAAATCAACAATAAAAAATATTTTAAAAGAAAAAGAGTAATAGCTTTCAATTACAGAAAATTAAAAAAGTATTGAAAAATTTTGTGGTCCAAAGTAGTCATAACTTAAAAATGCACTTACTTTTTGGGTTGACAATGCATTTAATATAAAACAAGATATTGATAGTAATATTTTAAAAATAAAGGTAAGTTATTTTACTAACCAGTTTTCAATAGAAGATTTTCATCAACCAGATGAATAATTAATTGACCTTAAAAAACATCATAGTTTATGCCAATACAAGAAGCAAAGTGAAGTCACAAGTGCACTTTCTGCTAAATCAATAGAACATGACCGACTTACTTTATAACAGATTCTTGCATTTTACAATTCTAAGAATATTTGGAATGGGAATGAAACTGGTTTTTTCTGAAAAATGGAACCTTTTAGAATATTAGCATGAGTTTTTTATCAGAACATAAGAAAAAAAAATCTTAAGTTACAATTTTTTGTGCAATAAATGCAACTGGAATAGAAAAAATATCCCTTTTATTTATTTATAAATACAAAGCTCCATACGTTATAAGAAATATTAATTATAAGAACCTTTCAGTTTATTATTTTTGGAACAATAAAGCTTGGGTGCAAGTTAGTATATATTTTTAATATGATTCTTTTTAAACTTAATGAAATAATGAAAAAAAAAAATAGAAGGATCATTCTATTAATTGATAATGCACCAGTGTATTTCATTTTAAATAAAACTCGTGAAAAATTAAATAGTATAGAAGTAAAATTTTTACCACCAAATACTACACCTAAACTTCAATCATGTGATGCAGATATAATTCATTCATTTAAATATCATTATAAATATAAACTTTTTTGGATTATTTATACTGTGACCCTAGATATCGGGATAACCTTGTAATATGGAAGAATAATGTATTGAATGAAAGATCATATGATAGAAAGTCACATAATTGGATAAATAATTAGCCAGAAGGATAAACATTTGGAAAATGAAATAATCTACATGATGTAATATTTATTGAATAATTAATGAAGATCAAATAGATTAATTAGGAAGTTGATCGATTATAACATAACAACCAGTTTATTGAGCTCATCAATAGGAATAAAATAATAAGTTTATCAAGTTCATCAATAGGAATAATTAGGAGGAGTAGTTATAAGTCACAAAGTATAGATTATAAGTTGGAAATAATTGATAAGTATTAGATTATTTCTTTACAAGATTATTTCTTGAAAAGATTATTTCTTTACGATAGAATATTTCTTTATAATGTAATATTTATTGAATGATTAGAATAGAAAGTAACAGATTAGAAAAAAATAGAATAAAAAGATGAAAGAAAGTATAACACATAAAATAGAAAATCAAATTTGTAAAAGTATAAATAGGAGTGGAATTTAAAGTGAATCTCACAGTTTAGTGTAACTCAATAAAATATTAATTATTAAAAGTTATTTCGAATATACTTATGGTTCGTCTAAGTTTTAATTAATATTTAATTTTTTAATAATAACCACAAGAAGAAATAAATATACACTTTCGTAATGAGAATTATTGAATTTTTGAAGTTGAAATAAATATGAAATACTTCATAATAAAAGCTATCGAAGTTTGAAAATGTTAATAAAAGGATGAATTATGGGGAAAATTTAGAGAAGTTGAATTTATTTTATATCATTTGATGTTTTGTATTACTAACATGATTTATTTTATGTGAAATATTATTATTTGTTGATCATAATTGTTTGTTTGTTTGTTTATTTGTTTGATCGTCCATGAGAATGCTGATTTGATGTGACAACTCTTTATTTTGATGAAAGAGGAAATTAGGGAATCTCAATGCATATAATAATATGCAAGATGATATTATAAAAAAAACTTAATGATTATACAATTTATGATGCTTTGCAAAATGCAGCTGAAGCATGATCTATGGTATCATCTTAAATAATTTCAAATTGCTGGAAAAAACAGGTATTCTTTCACCAAATAATGAAATTGAAGAAATTTCTAAAAATTTATAATTCAATAACTCTCTGATAGATATGATATAACAAGATGTATATATAGAAATTATTATAAAATTTTAATAATGCACATATTAAATTTTTAGTACATTAGATAGAAAAATTAAGGAACTTGATATGCTAATTGCTCAACTTCCAAAAAGTAATCTTAATGTACATGTATGAGTATCTTCATATAGATAATAAAATGCCAAAAAAAGGATTTACTGATAATGAAATAATTGATACTATATTAAATGCAAATAATAAAGAAGAGTTTTTAATAGATAAAGATGAATTTCTACCTGTATTGGAAAAGTTAGTTTAGTAGAAGCAGATGATGCTGCAAATAAAATAATAAGATTTTTATATGAACAAACACCAGAATTTGGTAAAATAAATAATGAATTAAAAGTTTTAAGAGAGTTGTATAAGCGAATTAAATTGCTAATTATAGAAAATCTAAAACAGGCTGATATTCATAATCACTTTCACAATAATACTAAATAATAAATTCCTGTATATAATATACTTTACATATAATATAATAATAAATAAAGTCTTGTAATATCATATAATAAATAAATTATTGCAAAACTGTTACATATCTATATTTTTATTAGCTAATTTTATATACCAAACAATTTAGTATAAAAATGTAAATATTATATAGCAAACTCATCTTATACTGAACTAAATCTTCTGAAATGGAAAATTCGTTACAGTCAACTTCCTTTATAGTCACTTTCATTATAGTCACATTCTACTATATAGTTATACCAGTTGCAGTGTTGTACATGGGACATGTCCCGCCAAAATTTTAATATCCCAGACATTGTCCTGTCCATGTCCCGTCCACATCCCGTCCAAAAATTGTCCAAGTTTACAATTTGTCTTATCAAGACAGCACCTAATGGGCTATAATTTATAATTAAGATCATGTGATTTTAATGTCCCAATGTCCCGGACATTACTAAAATCTTTAGACGTGTCCTGGACTGTCCCGTCCCATCCTGTCCATGGACATGTCCCGTCCTTATGACAACACTGCCAGTTGGATGTTCAAAATATTTTATTATTAAAATTTATCCTATATAGTCACAATCCATCTATAGTCACTATCACACCTATTTTCAAAAATCTCATATTAAAAAGTACTATGTATAGTTACAGTTATGTAAAGAATATAATAAATTGCTCAGCATCTAATGATTGTAAAAAGATATAATACAGCTTGTTGGAATCATTTCATTACGACGAATCAAATGGTAGTAGTTTCATCTTTCTATGATTACTGGCTGATGAGATATTTAACGAAATGTTAAAAATTGGCATTTTAATATTTCTTGATTTATATTTACTGCTAAGGTTGCTTGCCGAAACTAGGAGGTTTCGGCGAGATGGCGTATGCGAAACTGCTGAAACTAGTTTTGCAAAATTGGTCTAAAATGTTAAAATGCCGTAACTGCTGAAACCTGCCAAAACTGTCTAATAAGCTGCCGTAACTGTTTCGGCGTAGTGCATCATATGATATACATATAGTTTCAGCAATATTATGAATTATGATTAATTTCGGCATGGATTTTTTTTTTGATGCAATGCCGTATTCAGCTGTATTGAATTTATATAGACGTAATTGCCGAAATTTGCCGAATTTATCGAATTGTCAATAATTTACGCCAATCTGGCACAGAAAAGTTAGATTATCAGACAGATTGCATAGTACAAATCATCTGATGATCTCTTTTTTCTTGTATTGAGGTTTCTGGACAAAAATTATGAGGTAAAGAACTAAGGAGGTCCAGACAGGAAGTTTTTATTTAAAAAATGTAATAGTTTATTTTTCGTTTTGTAGGGTTGCTGGACAAAAAGCACGACCGGACTTTTGAAGTAAGAAAGGACCGGAAAAAGGTCTATTTTAATAAATTTATTTATTTATTTTTTTTTTATTGTAAGGTTGCCGGACGAAAAACATGACCGGACTTTGGAAATGAGGTAAGGAAGGGTTGAGGGAAAGATTTTTCATTGTTTTTTATTTTAATAAATTTAACTAATTTATTTTTTTCTTTTTTGTAGTGTTGCCGGACGAAAAACATGACCAGACTTTGGAATTTAGATAAAAGAGGGGGCTGAGGAAAGGTTTTTCATTGTTTTTTTATTTAATAAATTTAACTTATTTATTTTTTTCTTTTTTGTAGTATTTCTGGACGAAAAACATGACTGGACTTTGGAATTTAGGTAAAGGAGGGGGCTGAAAAAGGTTTTTCGTTGTTTTTATTTAATAAATTTCTTATTTATTTTTCTTTTTGTAGTATTGCCAGACGAAAAATATGTACGGATTTATAAATTAAGGTAAAGGAGGACTGGTGAAAGTTTTTCGTTAATTTTTTTATAATTTATGAAAAACATGACCAGACTCTTAAAATTAAGGTGAGGGAGGGTCAGAGAAGGTGTTTTCATCATTTTTTTTTAATAAATTTAATTGATTTTTTTTTCTTTTTGTAGGATTGTCAGATGAAAAAATATGACCGGACTTTTGTAATCAAGGTAAAGTACTGGGAGAAGGGTTTCGTTATTTTTTTTTTTTGATAAATTTAATTAATTTATTTTTTTTTTATGTAGAATTCCCAGAAAAAAAATCACGACTGTTGCATTTGTTAGGATTTTTCAATAATAATATTATTATTAGAATATTACAACGTTGTTTATTTACATGTAAATTTATTAGAGACTGAAATTAAAAATAAAATATTAGGAATGCTGTAATTATGCCAAAATTCATATAAAATATTATTATTTATTATGCCGAAACTACGGATAAACTCGTTATAAAGGTTTCGCAAATTTTGGCAGTTTCACAAGTTTTGGCAGGTTCACGGTTTCGCAGTTTCACAGTTACGACACTATATGTGGAGTTTCTCCTTTCGGCATTAGGCCAAATAGGTTTCGGCAGGTAACTTTATTTACTGCGCTGCTAGACATTTTGCTTAATTTCTCTGCATTTAGTGATTATAAAAAGATAATTAATAGCTCTTTAAAATCGTCTAATCGAAATAAGAACAGGATGACAATTTATAGGTTATTTACATAGGATTTTATAGGAAATATATATTTTTTTGAGTTTTGCTAATTTGCCCCTAGGTTAAATATAAATAACCTGGGTTAAATTAGGGTAATGACATATATTAGCTAATATTTTAAGGGGTGGGGGAGTAAAAGAAAATCTTAGGTTACACATAATATAAACCATATGAAATGGTTGTGATTGGTCATAAAATCTTACCTGGGAGAGTAAACGTTACTATTAAAATAATATTAGCTAATATATGTTACTGCCTTTACCCCCTAAAATTTATATTTTACATCAATATTTTTTTTTAAAAAAAAAATTATTTGTATTATTATTCATTTCACTTTATATAGATTTTATTTATTTGGATATTATAGAGTATAATGACCAATTTTTCTTATATTTTTGACAATGTCTCCTATTTTTTATTGTAATCATAATTTACATTTTTTTTTTTTGAAAATTTAGGCAAAATTATATAATTATATAAAATTTACTAGTAGGTAAATCATCAAGGTTACACAGGTCAAAAAGTGAAAAATCAGGCACCAATCGGTCACCAATCAGGTAGCTGATTGGTGACTGATTGGTGACCGATTGGTAACTGATTGATGCCTGATTTTTCACTTTTCGACCTGTGTTAATCACCTGTGTTAAAATTAGTCTTATACTATTTTTTTATAAAATTGTTATTATGAAGATAAAAAATCGGAAATAAAATTTAAAAATTAGCACAAAAATTGGAAGTTCATTTTTTTACTGAATATTATATGATTTCTTGCCGATTTCAATATTTATTATTTGGTGAAACTGTATCAATTGGTTGTTAAATGCTAGATCGATTTTTGATAAATATTATCTGGTTATTATATGATATCTAGAATCTAAAACTAGCTAAAAAGTAATGATCGACTATTAATTTCAACCAGTGATGTACGCTGCCTTAAGCATAGCGGACATCTTTACTTTATCACAATTTTGTCGATCATTTATCGATCATTTATTCAATTTCATCACTTCATTATAATTACTTCAGTTGAAAATCCTACATAATAATAATTTTACAGACAAATTTAACATTCATTTAAATTTACTGCATACTAAATTTACCAAAAAAAATTCTTTAAACAGTTAATAAATTTTTACAAATTTTGTTTATATGTGTATTTTAATAATATTCATAAACATTTGCTCAATGATAACTTTTTGATTACCTAAAATTCTACATGATTATTTTGGCCATTGATTCTTGAATACCTAAATAATATATTTTGAAAATTTCAAGTTTCGCCCATAAATCTGTGGCTTCGCCCGAAGCTCCAAAGTCAAATTAGCAGACACTGGTCGAAATAGTCCAAATCGGCTAGAAATCGGATGTCCGATTTTAGGCTGAATTTGGTGATAAATATGGCCGATTTATTAATTTAGGCAAAGTTCTGATTGGCAGGCCGATCGATGCCGATCAGAATGTCTGAATTGTATCTGAATTGCTTAATATTTTTAATCCGAATTGTTTAAAAAATATTATTCATAAATTTACCGAATTGCAGTGAATTTATTCTGAATTATGGTAAATTTGTGACAAAATTTTCTGAATTGTAGTAAAATTTATTCCAAATTGTAGTAAAATTTATTCCAGATGTGTATAAGAGACAGCTATCAAAATGAGACTGAGACTTTTTATTCTTACTACCTTATTCCTTACTTTATCTTTGGCCTGGTTGGCCCAATCTGCTCCTGCTGCCATTAAATTTCCTCCTGCCGCTATCGAAGAAACCGGCCAATTTCTTCTAGAAGACAATCGACCACCTATCTCTGCTCATTTTTCTAATAGTCCACTTGATGAATGTCGTTATTGCGGTGGGTTCACACCTGACCAGTGTTCAATAGCATGTTACCGCTACGGCTATAAGTATTATTGGTGCAGTACATGTTATTGCAATTGTAGTAACTAGGGATGACACGTGAGTGTTTTAAAACAATTTTAGAACAGAATTTTCAAATATAATTGATTTTGATTGATTTTTATTATTTTAAGGGACAATCCAATTTACAAAGTGTAGTAAATTTCGAATCTACTCATAACTTTTGGTTATTACGACCTTTGCTATGTACAATAATAGCAGTTACAGTATTGCGTTTTTTATCATTATAGTTGAAGTTATATGAATTATATGATTGAAAATTTTATTTTTGTAATAACTTTTTATAAATAAAATAATTTACTAAAGTACTTAAAAAAACGTATTATGTAAGCCTGATAAAATACCACGTGATTTTTTGTGGCGCATCAGCTTCATTTGCTTTTTGCATAATTTAAAAGTATAAAACATGTTAATTTCATGCTTTTAAAATTTTATGTTTTTAAATTTAGTAAAAAAATAAATTATTTATTTTCTATAAACAATAAAATAGATTTTATTAATAAAAAAAACGATAAGTTCATTTGATTTTTATTGGCTGATTTTGATTCAAGAAAAATTGAAATATAAAATCACATGATTGTCAAGTATACAATAGCACCATATTAAATTTATTTAATAAAAGAAATTAATTTTATTTTTTGAAATATAATAAAAAGTAATTTTTCATCTTTTTCATCTAATATAGATAAGAGAAATTTAGAAATTTATTTTCGTCCATTATAGCACGTCTGAAATCTGTGCCAGGTTGAGGGCGCATGCGCCGCGCCACAGCCATTATCACGTGACATATACAATCAGAAAATTCGCGATCATCGTGTCGCACTGATAAACATATCTCCCATATCGCGCTAGATTTTTTTGCTTTTTTCTCTTTCGAACACCAATATTTTTTTTTTTAATTTAATATAAAAATATAATTATTGTTACAGAATTGTGTTTATTTAAAAAAAATTTTATATAATTATTATTAAAAAACTTTAAATTTAATTATAAAAATGTCAAAAAAAATTATTAAAAAATTAATAAAACAAAAATTCAAATTTATAAATGTAAACAATTAAAATTTTTGAATTAGAAAGCCTATATTATAAATTTTATTGTAAATCATAATGCCATTATGAAAAATGTTATTCATAAATAAAAATAATACGTTGGCTAATTAAAAATGGTGTAAATTAGTATAAATGCTTTGTAAAAATGTTAAAGAATGAAGAATGTATGCTAATAAATATTATGAACAAACCTTGATTCAATTCGGCTGATTTTTTAATATGTTTTTGCTCAGACTATGTTCCTTTTTACCGGCTTNGGTATTCATATTGGAGCCAATTTCCCTGCAAAAAAAAATAATAAAATATAATAAAAAACGTTAAATTAAACGTTTTTTATTAATTTTTGTCAAAAAGTTTCGAAAATTCGAAACTTTACGGTATTCCTACAATAATATTAAAAAAAAAAACGTTAAACATTTTTTTCAAAGAAGTTTCGAAAATGCGAAACTTATCTGGAATATCGGCGTCCACGTTGGAGCCGATTTCCTATACAAAAGTAAAAAAAAACGTTTTTAGTAATATTAAAAAACGTTTTTTAAAGTTTCGAAACTTTTGTTTCGAAACTTACCTTTGGAAATCAGTATCCAAGTAGGAGCCGATTTCCTATATAAAAGTATAAAAAAAA